AACCTAAACCTAAACCTAAACCTAAACCTAAACCTAAACCTAAACCTAAACCTAAACCTAAACCTAAACCTAAACCTAAACCTAAACCTAAACCTAAACCTAAACCTAAACCTAAACCTAAACCTAAACCTAAACCTAAACCTAAACCTAAACCGTAGGTCTACTTAGTACCTCTGGGGATTATGTTATGTTGCGAAAACGAAACCTCATCGCCGTGTACATTTACCTTATACGCCATCTAGTGTCCAGTAGATGTACTGCGTTACGGTGAACATTTATTTACTACTATTATCTACTAGTGGTGGGGCAAGAGAGTAGCGTTATGTTGTGTCATTTCATTATCGATTGATCAACCCGCTAATTTCTACATTTAAGTGATAGATTCCAAATAGCTATAAAAGCGAGTGTTGTAGTTAATGTTGAAGGTATTTATACATTGACCTTCTTTGTACGATGTCTTCGTTTTCGTAGTCGCGATAAACCAGTGACAGCACACGTAGGATCAATGTTTAGTGCTGTTTTTGGCACACGTCGCTGTACTGAAGCAGTTGGTTAGCGGCAAAATCTCTACAATATGTCGAGTTGGGGACGTGTAAAACAACCATACATCGATTTGGGTGGCTATGTCAGAAGTATCAGCGAGTCAGCTTTTATAGGAGAATATTGAATCTCTGTATTGCCCGGGAAAAAAAAAAAAAAAAAAAAAAAAAAAAAAAAAAAAAAAACCTCTAGTTCATTACTATACGATCCTAACTCTCCGAGTATCTTGATACCGAATTTCATTTTCATGGGGACTAGGGAATGCAATCCCGATCCCGCGGGATCGCGATGTCGCGAGATCTCGTGTCATTTTTTCGGGATCAATCCCGACGCATCGTATGACGAGATCCCGTTCGAGATTGACGAATTGAGAATCTACCATTAAAAAAAAAAAAAAAAAAAAAAAAAAAAAAAAAAAACATGGATTTGTTTGAGTGTGGAGGTACAAGGGGGCGATTTTTGCAGTTTGCATACAATTGCTTCGCCACGCTGTTGCCAACCAGCGTTGAGTCGGAGAGGGCATTCTCAGCAGCGGGGTACATTGCAACGGACATTAGATGCCGTTTAGCAGATGAAACTATTAATACCCTTTCTTTTTTAAGGAGTCATTTTCAAAATCACTCTTTTTCCTAATTCCCTTGAAATAAGCTTATTGTTTTGATTACCTAATTTACCTACGTTAATTTCCTTACAACCTGATTATTATTTAGTTGGTAAGATTAAAGAATAAAGATTTTTATTTTCTTTCGAGTAATATGTTATTTTAGTTAACCTCACTATCACAAACAAGCAGTTATTACCTTTTTCAGTCATTTGAATTCAACATTTCTTTTAAATTTAGACGGGATCCCGAATTTGCAATCTCGTGTCGGGATTGCATTCCGTAATGGGGACATCTCTTATCGTGACCTTTGCCGGTCTAGGAATTGACTTACGGGATTCATTTCCAAATCTTTCACTTTAAAGGCCATCAAACTGGAACGAGTTACTTCCTGACATTAAATCTAGTTCTTCAAAATTCACATTCAAATCCAAATAACGCAAACACCTTTCCCAGAATCCCTATAGTATTATTCTTCTACTCAACCTCCTCTATGCATCTGAATTTCACTGTTGATTTGTATATGTAAATTTATAATTGTATGTGTATTTGTAAGTATGTATGTATGTGTATGTAGTTATATTTATATACTAGCCGTACCGCTTCGTCCGCGTGGAATTTAACTTTATTTTTCTAAAATAAAAGTAGCCTATCAACTACCTGCCAATAAAAGTCCCGTCAAAATCGGTCCAGCCATTTCAGAGATTAGCCGGAACAAACAGACAGAAAGACTGACAAAAATTGTAAAAAAATATTTTATTTTGATGTATGTACCACTGTTTTACTCGAAGCCAAGAAATCAAACAACACCGAATTGGATATTAAACAAAGATATATTCGGGTGTAAATCGAACTCAATAATTACAAAATTCCGTACAGTGGTCATAATCAAAGAAAACGAAACTATAGCGCGTTGTACATTTCACCTAGCGCCATCTAGTATAAATATTGAGAACTTTAATTGATATTGGTCGAACATTCCGCCCACCAAGAACTAGTGTTCTTAATGACCGCCCACCATGACATTTATACACAACTAATAAAGTAGGCACCCAATTATTTTTTAAAATGAATATACATATCTAGAGAAATAGAACTAAACATCGTAATGAATACAACAAATATCTTCGCTAGATACTTCGTACATCAGCAAGAATCAAACACTAAATTATACTCTATTAACAATGTGACTAAAACAAATGAAACAAACAAAAACAAACAACGCATTAACAAATCCTTACTAAATGCCAAACAATTAAAAGAAACCAAACAAAGCACAATTACACAAATTAAACAATTACAAAAAAATCAATTTTAAAATACACATTTAGACATGCAGACTTATAGCTATATAACAACTTATTGAACAACTGGCAAAATACAAAGTTTCGATACAGGTCTTTTAATACAATTTTCTTTACAACGCAAGGTGACAACTCTAGTTATATTGTCTGGACCAGGGTGCTTTTCCTCAATTCGACCGAACAACCATCTACTTGGAGGAAGATCATCCTCTTTAATTAAAACAACTTGGCCTATTTGAGGTTCAGGAGTAACTTTTGTCCATTTATACCTGTTGCAAAGTGTTGTGAGATATTCTCTTGACCACTTACGCCAAAAATTTTGAGTAAGTTTCTGCATGAGTTGCCATCTACGCAACATACTGCTATTATGGTTCATGTAATTATTTTCTGGAACTGTAATAAGCGGTTCCCCAATCAAGAAATGGCCTGGTGTGAGAGGCAAACTATCCTCCTGACTAGTGGGTAACCTATACATAGGTCTAGAATTCAAGCAGGCTTCCACTTGGGCCAACAATGTGGAAAGCTCCTCATAGGTTAAGGTGGTACCATCAAGCACACGTTTCAAGTGATACTTTGTTGATTTAACCCCTGCCTCCCAGATACCCCCGAAATTCGGAGCGCGGGGAGGTATAAAATGCCATTCGGTTCCTGTATTTGCTAAACATTGAGCAACTTCATCTAAAATACTCGACTTTTCAGCCTTAAATAAAACACGTAGCTCTTTTGATGCGCCCACAAAGTTCGTGCCGTTGTCGCTCCAAATCTCCTGACAGTGGCCTCGACGAGCCACGAATCTCTTGAAAGCTGCAATGAATCCTTCACTCGTCATATCACTTACCACTTCCAAGTGGATTGCGCGTGTCACCATACACACGAAAAGGCATACATAGCCCTTGAAGCATCGACATCCGCGACCCTTGGATATTCTAACGTTGATAGGACCGCAGTAGTCAACTCCACTTCGGCTAAATGGACGGCTCGCTGTAACACGTGAGCTTGGTAAATCACCCATGAAGGGTTGTTGGCACGAGGTACTATATCGAATACATGTAATACACTTCTTAATATATTGTCTAATTATACTCCTCACGTTGATAATCCAGTACCTGGTACTGATATAATTATGCATTAATTGTGGTCCGCCATGCAGCGTTTTCTCGTGAGCATCTGCTACAATTAACTTAGAGATATGATGATCACGCGGCAAGATTATAGGGTGTTTCGCATCATAATCTTCTTGACTATGCTCTATACGTCCACGTACTCTCATTATATGTTTATCATCTAGGAATGGACACAAAGACAATATTTTACTACCTTTTGGGATGGATCGACACTTCATCAACTGTTCAATTTCAATGGGAAAGGATGAGCTTTGGCAGTGTTTCAGGCAAATGTTCAGACTATAATTTAATTCAGCAGCTGTAAGATATGAAGGTAACAATTTTCTATGTTTCAGTTTATTAACGATCCTCAAACAAAAAGCAATTACTCTTATCAACTTATTGAGTGATGAATATTTAGTCCAGACAGGCAGTTCTTCATTACTTCGATCTGAGACAGCAAGGTAAGATTTAATGGCTTTTTTCTCCAAATCAGTAGACAAATTCTCAATTAGAGGAAACTCGTAATAGGATTCATGTAACATCTGCGGTCCATGCCACCATAATCCATGCTCGATCAATTCCCCTGGCCTCAATCCTCGAGACGCGCAGTCAGCAGGATTTTGATTAGACTCAATATGTGACCATTGACTGCTGTCTAAAACCTCTAATATTTCAGTTACTCGGTTGGCGACAAACGTCTTCCAACGGTTTGGTTCGCCTTTCAACCAGGCTAAAACTATGGTTGAATCAGTCCAAGCACGTAATTGAACCTTGGATACCTTCATGACTGATGACACCTCCGATAACAATTTTGCCAAAAGTACCGCGCCACAAAGCTCTAAACGAGGTATGGAGATCTGCTTAATGGGAGCAACCTTAGTCCTCGCTCCTATCAAGTTAACATGAACTTCTCCAAACTTGTCTTTAATACGAGAATAAACGACTGCACTATATGCATCGTTGGAGGCATCACAATATCCGTGGATTTCTATGTCAGTGGTATCGTACGTTGCGTGCATCCACCGAGGTAATTTGACTTGATTAAGTTTTGGCAATTCTTCTCGAAATGAAATCCATTTATCTAGCAGATCAGATGGCACTTCCTCATCCCAGCCAAGTCCTGCAAGCCAAAGCTTTTGAATGTATATCTTCGCTTGAATAATAACCGGTGCAATCCAACCCAGTGGATCAAAAAGGCGAGATATATCGGATAAAATGACTCTCTTTGTAATTGGCTGCTTTTGTGGATGTAATTTAATTACGTACTCAAATTCATCAGATGAGACATTCCATGACACTCCTAAAATTTTGACCAAATCATCTGTCTTAATCACCAAGTTTCTGTCTGCTTTGTTGTCTTCTTGAATTTCTTGCATAAGTTTCTGACTATTACTTGCCCATTTCTGCAATTTAAATCCACCTCTTTCTAATAATTCGACCATTTGATTGTATATATCAACTGCTTCCTCTTCCGTCTGACAACCTGACATAAGATCATCCATATAAAAATCTTGCAGTACTCTATCAGCTGCCAAAGGGAAGTGCTTGCCTTCATCCTTGGCGACTTGTTGAAGTGACTTTACTGCAAGATAAGGCGCAGAAGAAACTCCAAAAGTTACTCTCAGGATACGGTATTCCCTGAAGGGCTAGTTTGAATTGTGTCTCCACAGAATTCGCTGAAATCTGGTGTCTTCGTCATGTACCTTAACCTGCCGGTACATCTTGATGATATCTGCCACAAAGCAAATTGGATACGTACGCCACTTCATCAATAGATGTCTCAACTCTCCCTGCAATCGTGGACCGGTAAGTAGGTCATCATTCAATGATTTACCATTATTCCCTTTACACGAAGCATCAAACACCAGACGAACCGCTGTGGTTGATTTATCTAACCGAACAACAACTAACAACGGTAAGTAAACGGCATCTGCTCTAACCTTTTCTCTTTCTTCAGTTATAAGTTCCATGTGATTCATATCTATATATTCTTCTATTACTTTTGAACATTCCTTTCTTAGAATTGGATCCTTTTCCAACTTTCTTTCCATAGTCAGTAATCTCTTTTTAGCTATTTCTTTAAAATCTCCTTGTTCGCAATCAGGATTATTCTTGCGAAACGGTAGTCGCACAACATAACGACCTGATTCATCCCTGGTTGTAGTCTTTTCATAATACTCTTCACAAGCTTTATCTTCTTCTGACATGAAATTCTGCTCTTTACCAGACTCCAACTCCCAGAACTTACGCAATATCTCATCAGAATTATCCAGCGAATGCATGCTAACTATGCTGGAATGGTGACAATGATGGTTTACTTCTACTCTACCGGATAATATCCACCCCAGCTGTGTATCTTGAGCAGTGACACTGCCCTTTCTAATAATATTATTCGTTAGGATCATTCCATAAACATCCGCCCCTAGCAACAAGTCTATCTTACTAGGTGTACCATAACCGGGATCAGCCAGAGTTAAACCTGATAATTCTGGCCAATCTTGAATATTAAGTTTTTGAGCTGGTAAACTGGATGACAAAGCGTTCAAAACATAGGCCTGAATTTCATAACTAAACGAGGTATAAATGGACTGTATCTTAAAAATGACCATATGTTTGATGGATAAGTTAAACTGATCTCCACCCAAGCCAGATACTATTCCCTTGAAAGGAATTTTACGAAGCCCTAATAATTGAACAACACGCTCCGTAACGAATGAGGCTTGAGAACCCTGATCCAGTAATGCTCGCAGTGTATAACAATCTCTATTAGTGTCCACGTGTACTAAAGCCGTAGCCAACATTACTTGACCAGGTGATGATATTGAGCCATTAGCAAAATGTGTTGAAATTCGACTTGATTCTTGAACCTCCTCTCTCTGCACATTTTCTTGCTCTCTGTGCTCGGATTCATTCGTTTGATTTAGTTCCATATTAGACGATGAACTCGAACTTCCCTCAGGGTGCAGTAAAGAGTGATGTCGCCGTCCGCAACGCCTACAAGTGGTACGTCTCTTACATCGGCTCACTGGATGATTACTTCCAAAACAGTTGAAGCATAATTTATTTTTCTGAATAAATTCATGACGACTTTCATAACTCTCATTACAAAACTTTTCACATTGGAATAATAGATGACTTTCTTTACAAAAGGAACAGGAGATTGCGGTAACACTAAAAACTTTTGGTCTCTCTACTTTATCATCATTTCTCTCGTTATTATGAAGACATTCCATAGCCAAAAACCTGCATTCTAGGAATTTATTGAATTCCTCTAACGTTGGTAATATGTCTGAGTGGTCACTGATCCTGTGCTCCCACTGAACTCTAGTACTATTATCTAGTTTTAATGACACAAGATGTATAATGATAATGTCCCAAGAAGATGTATTGACTCCTATATTAGATAATGCACTCAGGCAATCATTTGTTGTATCCAGTAACTGCTTGATTCCGTTTGCAGACTCTGTCATCAACTTCCTTTGACCGACCAGTCTCGTGAGAATTGAATTAGCAATATAGCGCCTATTATTATATCTCTTTTTTAGCTTATTCCAACACTGTGTATAATTAGCGTCTGTGATTGGGATATGACGTAATATCTGTTCAGCTTCTCCACTGAGGTGTGCCTTTAAGTAGTGCAACTTCTGAACTTCTGCTAAAGATGTATTACTGTCGATCATAGAAACAAATAAATCATGGAAAGACTGCCATTCCAAATATTTTCCTGAGAAAATTGGTAAAGAAATTCGTGGTAAATGAGCAATACTACTTCCAGAAGGCGAGTTTGAAGATTGATCTTTACTGTTCTCCTCTTTTTCCTTTGGTTCATCTTTTTTTAATAATGCCATAGAATCTTGGAGTGCACATTTAAATTCAACATATAATTCTTCAACTTCATCAAATAGACTTAGTTTAAAATAACTTATATCTATGTCTGTATCTACGGCTTCTTTTAAAATATTCCGATGATTTTCTTCAAACTCCCGCCAATTATTATTTAAAATATTTAATCTCTCTGCAAAATATCCATATGAACTACGACTTTTTGACTTTTTATAATTGCTATAATTTTTATTTATTTTATCTTGAATACTTTTCTGAATTTTCATTAAACCTTCCATTTTTGTTTTAGTAAATTGCCAATTGAAAGTTGAAAGTCAATTAATAACCGTTTGCACTGAGTCTTAAACGATACACTGGGTGAGTGAGCATAAAAAAATACAAATGTCTATTCACAATGTCGCACTGATTACTAAAGTTCAAGTTATTAGAGTTAGTTCAATAATCACTGAATGTTACAATATTTAAACTCACAAATTTTTCTAAGTTTTTTATTAGAACCCGAAATTTTTACAAGTGTTTTTTGCATTTATTTCGCTGTGTTTTCGGGCATAGGTTCCCCGTCTCACACAATTTTGGCGAAATATTCTAAGTCCAGTTCACTAATTATTTTTCTAAGTCCCTAAGCTACTCCTAACCAATAATAACTTGATTGTACTTACAGTTCGTCCCAGCTACTTACGACACTAAATCACTAGCTCACTCACCACCGAACTTCACTTCACTAAAGTACCACTAGAGGTCGCCACTGTCCGGGTCGAAGGCCAATGTTTTACTCGAAGCCAAGAAATCAAACAACACCGAATTGGATATTAAACAAAGATATATTCGGGTGTAAATCGAACTCAATAATTACAAAATTCCGTACAGTGGTCATAATCAAAGAAAACGAAACTATAGCGCGTTGTACATTTCACCTAGCGCCATCTAGTATAAATATTGAGAACTTTAATTGATATTGGTCGAACAACCACTGTTGAGGGCGCCACTATATCTAGTATGTATTAATTATAAATATAGTATCTGTATAATTAAATAGTACTGTTAGTATAAAAATAATGTAGCAAATAAGTTATATATCTCACAATGATTATCTGTAGAATGCAAATGTTGTTTACGTAATTTAGTTCCGAAATGAATACTAGATGGCGCTGTTAGATTTCTGAAACTCGATATTATTTCGTTTTCATTGATTGATATACACAATTGTAAAATTTTATTATTCAGTATTTTGTAACACCATTTTTTGATATCATTATACTCTTTCCCTCGTATGTGGTGTTTCATTTCGAGGTTTTTGGGCTGTCTGAATATCGCGGCGCGGACGTCTTCATTTGGTCTTTCGACAGCCGGATTCTAAAAAAAATCGCGTTCGCTTAGTATATCGCGTCGTAGTGTTTAGACAGTGAAAAGGTAAAGTGAAGAAAAGTGACAAAAGTGGATAAGTGAAGAAAAAGTAAAAGTGACAAAAGTGGATAAGTGAAGAAAATGTGAAAGTGACAAAGGACTTTGGACTTTAAAGAACAGTGAGTACAAAATAATTAAAAGTGGAACTTAGTGAATTAAAAGTGATTAAAAGTAACTTTGTAGTGAAAAATTTAGTAGACATTCCTAAAAACTTTAAAATTTAATAATCCTAAAAACTTGCAATTTGAATACTCCTAAAAACATTGAATAATTTCTTCTAATCAAATAGAAAAATTTGATACTCCTAATAACTTTAGAAATTTGAGTGTTTTGGAACTTTGAAATATTAGCAATATTTTATTAACTTGTAACCATATGCATCTGTCAGAGACTTAGAATAATTCGTGTTGCATTGCAAGGACTTTAAAATATACTGTTTAAATGACATTTTGTGTTTTCTCTGATTAGTAAATTGTTTTTGTGAATACTTCATTTGGACTTTATTTTGTGATAATTTAACATGGCGAATTTAATTAAAACACAAATGGAATTACATAAACAATTAGACAAGGCTTTAAAAAACTTTAAGAAAACACCTAAAGCTAGACTGACGGAAACATACGCTCAAGTAAAATTAGAATTGTTAGAAGATTTATGGAACAACTTTAAACAAAATCATCAAATATTAATGATAACCACTGAGATTAATATACATGAATCAGATTACATAAAGAATGAAATTTATGATTTAACTGAAGATATTTTTACTGCTGCTAAATGTGAGATGAAGGAGATTCTTAAGACATTTTGTTCACCTAATCCGACTTCAGATAGTAATCAGACCACGTTGTCTCAGTCGAAAGCACCTACAGCTATGACTCCGGAATTAAAATTACCCCATATTAATATTCCCGTATTTACAGGAAAATATTCCGAGTGGATACCATTTCATGATTTATTTGTGTCGCTTATTCATCGAAATTCAGCACTTATGGACGTACAAAAACTACATTATCTTAAGTCTAGTCTGAGTGGAGAAGCAGCAACATTATTAAAACACATACCCATAAGTGAAGCTAATTATGAAGATGCGTGGGTGATATTACAAAAGCGATACAATAATAAACGATTTATCGTCACATCTATTCTAAAAAGATTACTGTCACAAAAGTCGCTATCTACAGAATCAGCAGGAACTATTAAAAACCTGCTTGACACAACAAATGAATGTCTAAGTGCATTGAACAATATTGGAGTATACACCTTGAGTTGGGATGCAATTCTAGTTCACCTAACTGTCACTAAATTAGATCCAGAATCTATCCGTTTATGGGAACAACAAATCAGTCTAGAAGACGACGGTAATAGCTTGCCGACATTTAAACAATTATGCAGCTACCTTGAGTCACGTTTTCGCACTCTTGAGATGTTGGAATCCACAAAGACCATGTCCAGACCTAGTACAAGGCAGAACACCTTTCACACGACATTCAAAACTAGTTGTAAATATTGTCACGGGAATCACTTTATATATCAATGCAAAGAATTTGCCCACCTTACATATACTGATCGCAAACGCTTCGTGGAACAGAACAGATTATGCTACAACTGTTTGATTCCGTATCATACCGTTGACAAATGCAAACAAAGGTCTACATGTCGGAGATGTGGTAAGAAACACCATTCACTTATTCACCCCGAAGGAAACACCTCAGATCATCTTTCTCCAGATGCAGGAGGAAGTTCACACATACGAGATAATAGACAACCTGAAGTAGCTACAACACCAGTCGAACACAATGTAGTGGCCCATTACGCGGACCAGGAAATGACCAAAAATGTGCTGTTGGCCACAGCATTGGTTAAAATTCATACAACAAATGGGACTACATATTCTTTGCGTGCTCTGATAGACCCGGGATCCGAAGGTTCATTTATAACGGAGTCCGCTGCACAGTTCCTTGGATTAAAGAAAACTACAGTCAGATGCACAATTAATGGACTGGGCGACAATGACAAAGCAAGTCTCACATCCACTAGCATGGTTACATTCGTTGCACAATCGAGATATGATTCAAACTTCACTGTACCAGTACAGGCGTTTGTTTTGAAGTCGATTACTCGGGCACTACCTGCTCAACGAATACGCGAACAGAACTGGCTACATCTGCACAACTTGGATTTAGCAGATCCATACTTTGACACACCTGGGAAGGTTGATATCCTGTTGAGTGCAGAAATTTACAGTGAGATCCTGAAAGAAGGATTAAGAAAAGGCCCCCGTGGTACCATTACAGCGCAAAATACATACCTCGGGTGGATTTTGTTAGGCCGGTTGCACAATGAGGAGACTATACAAAGCTACAAAATCACGACTAGTATGCATCTAACAATTGAGGATAATTTACTACAAAAATTTTGGGAGATGGAATCTGATTCTAAACATGAGAAGATTCTTACTGAAGAGGAGAGTCGATGTGAGAAAATGTATGAGGAGACTTATACTAGAGATAAAAGTGGTAGATTTATAGTACGTCTACCATTTAAAGAAGCAAATCCACCTTGTCAATATGGATCATCGAGAGATATAGCTGAAGGACGACTGATACAATTGGAGAAGAGATTTACAAAAGATTCTGATTTAATGAAACAATACAGTCATGTCATGAAGGAGTACCTAAATTTAGATTTCATGGAAGAGATAGTTGAGGAACATGATCGACAGATACCAACAGCTGTTTATATACCTCATCATGCCGTGATTAATCCGAAAAAGACGACAGTGAGAGTTGTAATGGATGCTTCGTGTAAATACAAAAACGGAACTTCACTCAATGATAGTCTCATGGTTGGTCCTCGTCTTCAACCAGATTTACGCCACATCATTCTACGATGGCGATACCACAAGATCTGTTTAGTGGCCGACATTACAAAAATGTATTTGCAAATTAAAGTTGACGAAGCAAGTTCAAATTATCAACGTCTCCTTTGGAGAAACAATTCTACTGAAGACATTAAACATTATAGAATGACCAGAGTCACTTTTGGTACTGCCAGTGCTCCTTATTTAGCGACAAAAACACTGCATCAGCTTGCAAAGGAGGAGACGAATAAGTATCCCTTGGCCTCAAAAATTACAACTACAGATTTTTATATGGACGACTTATTATCAGGTGCAGACACAATAGAAACCGCTAAAAAGATTTATGATGAGATGAATGGTTTAATGGCTGCTGGCAAGTTTCAGTTACAGAAGTGGAATACTAATGATACAGAGCTTCTAAGTTATATGAGAAAAGCAGATGATGAAGTTACTGAGTTAGAGTTTCAACTGGAAGGTACAATTAAAACATTAGGAATAGTATGGGACAGAACAAAAGATGAGTTTCAGTATTCAGTAGATATTCCAGATATATCATCTCCAGTGACAAAAAGATCTATTGCACGAGATGTAGCCAAATTATTTGATCCAATGGGATGGCTTGCGCCAGTTATCATCATTGGTAAGATTTTTTTGCAGAAGCTATGGCTTACTGGTGTAACCTGGGACCAAGAAGTGCCTAGTGACTTGGCATATAATTGGCTCAAGTTCAGAGAAGAATTACACTGTTTATCTGATATTACTGTAGAGAGATGGTTAAATACAACTAGTTTAGATACAAAACTAGAACTTTATGGATTCTCAGATGCCTCCACTGTAGCATACGGGGCAGTAGTGTATGCAAGAGTTACAGATTCTAACCATAAGATCCATATTCATTTAATTTCAGCTCGCACTAAGGTGGCTCCGGTAAAAACTATATCGTTGCCACGTTTGGAGTTATGTGGAGCGGTCTTATTAACACGGCTGCTTATTGAGATTGCAGAACATTTG